GAGGGTATGGGTCAAGAGTTCTTTTGAGTGTTCAGGGCTTGGTTAAACCCCTCAAACATGCTTCCGCGAAAGCTCGCGATAGTGTTCGCGAAAAAAACTTTGGATTTCCACGCAGAGGTCATTTTGTTATGAAGTAATATGGGTAACGCCCAACTCTGACATCGGAAAAGTGGATACTGTTTGCTGAAGTGACTGCCTGTGAGCAGGATGTAAGATAGAAACCGGTGTCACAAGTGCTAGAACAGAGATTTCTACTATTTTCATCTATTTTCTACCATTTGGTGCAAGATCCGCAGCAAGATGTGAAGTTAAGTTTCCTAGTGCTCACTGCTGCAGAAAGCCTGCATTGGAATCATGGTGGGTGCCAGGTGAGATTTGGTTCCTGGACGCGTAAATGACACTGGCTTGCCTGCGAACACAGTTGCGGCATCGCAAATAGCGCCAAATTCGGAATTTGAAAAGACAAGATGTACGTTCTATCGTGCATGCCGTGATAAGCCGGCAACATCCACGTCTTGAATCAGAAGATGAGCCTCTCCCCGCTCAAGTTCGGCTCAAGTTCGGCTCGTTGCAGAAGGATAGGCACGAACTAGGTCCACAGGCCCCTGGCTCGTGAAGGCAGGCGGCATTGCTTATTGAGACTGGTCCTCCTCGCTTGCAGACCGGACTTGTCAGGCTGCGGCCAATTTTCCTGCGCCCCATAGACCGGCAGCATGCAGGCTCAAATCTGTGCACCTTGAGTAGCATGATAATTGATGGTGTGTCCAAGAACTCTCGAGCTAGGCTCAAATGGGGCGCTTCCCAGGCCAGGCACCGTGGCAGAGGCCAAGAGCGGGCTCACGCAGCGCTGTTTGGAGGTTACGCTGCTGGTTATGGTAGTTATGCTGATGGATTTGGCGCTTATGCCGGAATGTATCCTCAGGCGCTGCAGCAGTGCTGGCAGCAGTGCTGGTGCATCAATTTGCGTCTTCAAAACTTGTTGCGATGTCAGGTCGGCGCCGGATGGGTGGGGGCCTGTGAGGCATCCTTTCCATGCTCAGTTCTGAAGAAACTGCTTGCACAAAGGCTCCGAATTATGGCAAAGGCCTCCCGCTCGGTCTTACACGTGATGTTTTACAGGGCAGCTTCCTTTGGCAGGAAAAGGCGAAGGCCGAGGTCGAGGCCAAAGATGATTCTACGAAAGCAGCAGCACAGCTCTGAAGAGTGCTTTTGGATGGACTGAAGTTTTGGCAAACTTGCCAGGCAGAGGAAAAGGTAAGGGCAAGGGCTACAAGGGAGCCCGCAACTTACGGACACACAGAGGGGCTTTTCGGGCCTCAAAGTTGCTTTTCCGCGGAGTCGCATGTCAATGGTCTGAAAAAACTCGAACTTGCAGTGAAACAGTCAAGAGCAGGATGGTGAACATCATTCCTTTGGTGTAACCCAGCTATCTTGCACTACACAGGCCGGTCAAGACAGATGGGGCCAAGAAAAGGGCAACACATGCATGCAACAAGCAGCATGAGAAAGCAACCATCATCACCCATGCTTGGCCTTTGTCGTTTCCTGTGCCCCAATCCTCAGCGACATCACAGTGCACACGTGCATTCTTTTGCGTGCGTAAGGGATTTAACCTTCCAAGGACTTGGTGTGTAGCTGTCGCGCACCGGATTTGCAACCATCATGATTCAACGGCCTGGATGCCCTTTTGTTGAGCCCATCCACCATCATCCACCTGAAACTGCACACTGTAACAGCGGTCAGGCGCAGCATGCAGGGTGCCAGAGCCCGCAGCTTGCATGGGAAAAAGGGATGAGAAGTACCACGAGAGTGCCTGCTCGGATGACCGAGTTGCACTATGTTGCAGTGAAATTTGAATGCCGTGGGGTTTGTGTGTGATACCAATGCGGACGTGCGTGCATGCAGGCATACTGCACATACATACACAAACCACATAGGCACACATTCACTCACAGACAGACGGACAGACACAGACAGACGTATATGCATACATAGAATTGTTATGCAGAACAAGTCTTCGGGCGGCTATGGCCGTATACGTAGATTTCGCCAGCTCTGTCTGCCGATGCAAGATTCGGAGCAAAGGCACAGTACCTCCTAGGAGAGAGAAAGCCCACTCATCACGACAACTCGTCCTTCCAAACACAGAGCCAAAAAGCGGATACCTGCCAAATCCTGCCAACATACGGCGACATCTGGGAATGGAAGTTTTGGTCCGGACCGATGGGTGCACGAAAACTTGAGCAGGCCGTCATATAATATCATGTAGTAGCTGAACAGGGAAGAGCATGCATAGGTCACAGGCGACGGGGTGGTCTCCTGGACTGGCTGGGATGCTCAGGAAGGTTGTGATAGACGGCCAAATCAGCCTTTTGGCCTTGCGTATGAAGAGCACCATCATCAATGGGATGGCAGCCTGCTGAATTTGCTTTGGTCAGTGTTAGCATGGCAGGTGCCAAAGGCTTCAATTGCACTCAGATCTCAAATTTGTGAATTCATGCGTTGATGAATAACGTGTCGAACCCGGTGGATGTGTGGAATACGAGCCAAGGCCTCCGTGTGATGCTGTTCGCCACGCCGCAGCTTTGAAAAGCATGTTGTCAGGCTTTCGACAAGGTTTCGAGGCGTACATGAGGTACACGAGCACCTCTTGCGCGTTAAGACGGACTTCAAGAAGCCTCATCAAGGCAGCTGTTCTAGCAGCTGCCCAATGTCTCAACGCCGCAATCCCTGCTGGGTCCAAAGATGTTATAGCTGACACGAAAGGAGATTCAACATCTATGCACGCACGCTTCCTGCCGTTGGTCTCCTTACAACAGATAATGGCGAGGATTTCAGGAAAGAGGGGCACCCATAGATTGTACTCATGAGCCTTGGCAAGCCCCCTTGGTGCTGCCACCCCATCTACCAGCATTGAATTTCTGACGGTGTTCGCCTTGTGCTTCCACCTTTTGACGTGTGCAGGAGACGGGCATTGGCTGAACCATAGGATGCTGCAAGAAGTGTACGTGCAATTTCTGATCCTGACAGCTGTTTTGCTTCCAATTGCTTCCTTAGGCCCGCGACTGGGATGAAAGCCGGAGCCTGTGCTGACAATGCAACACCACATGTGCCAATGGTTCCACATGCCGATTCGTAGGTTTTGGATCATCGAGCCACTTTCGTTGCAAACTTCTGCACTCCATACCCGCAAGGGCTTGTTTCGTGACAGGATACTACAGGATACAGATTACATTGATTAAATACCGGGATCCATGTCACGAAAGCTCCTTGGAGCTTGGGAGTGTTCCTCTTTATCATGGGCCGTGGACAGCTTTTCGGACCATCTGGTCTGATGCTTCAGTTTTTGGATTGGCGGAGCACGGCTCACCCGAAGCTGCAGATTTCCAGGCTCCGCCCGGGACCATCAGAGAAAGACCCAGAAATGGCGGAGGGGGGTGCGAGGGGTTAGGAGGATGGGCAACCAATCCCGATCCTTTGGACGTATCTCAGTAGGCCGAGGCGAATCTCTGTAACATGGCCGCAGAGCACGACATCTTAGACTCCCCCTCAACCCACACCTGAGACCCTTTCAAGGGGTGATCATGCGGAATCATACTCAGAAACAGCACTGATGGCAGGAGTTTTCTTCATTTTAAGTTGGACATGGTAGAACAAGAAAATGAAGGAATGTGAAAGTTAATTATGGGTTTCCCGGATGTTCTACTTCTTAGCTATAGCTACAAGATACTTTTATCTTTTTGCTATCGATATTTCATTTGGTAAACAGACAATGCTTATCTTCCAAGAAATTGAAAGTGTTTTTTGACACGTCCTTCAAGTAATGTAACCCCTATGTTCTGTCGGACCAGAGATCATTCAGTAGTAGGCAGGAGGAGGAGAGGGATGCGTTTCATTCTCAAGGCAGGCCATTCTAGCTCTGGAGCCGTCGATCATAATTTTTGCGGATCCTCATAGGAGAGGTCTAGGCAGATAACTTCTGGAACTGCATTTGAGGGCACACTGCCCGAACGGGAGGAGATGAGTATTGAATTGAAGGAACTGCTGTGACGGACTAATGGTAGTTCGGGGGAATCATAATTGCTTAGGGTTTCTTGTTTTCCGAGACGAACATTGATAACGGGAATTTTCTTGATTGGAAGTTGGCAAAGTAGAAAAGCAATATATGAACGTGAAAGATAGTCAGGGATTGCCTGGATGCTCTACTCTTTATAGTAACTGCCTTTCAAGGCATCGTGTCCATGCATATCAAAAGCAAGAGTCTAAAGGCAATCCCATTTTCATTCAGGGCTTGCTGAATTTCCTACTTTTCTGTGTTGTTGGTTTACAAAACAAATCGCAGGTTTATTTTTCAATCCACAGTGATTGCTTCCATAGAAAAGAGAGCTCCACATAAGTCCTTCAATCAGTGGGCCAGTGACCATTCAATGTTAGACAGGGGACGGGAGGGATGCGTTTCAGTATCAGGGCAAGCGATTGCGGTTCTAGAGTCTAGAGCCAGTAGAGGGTGGTCGGCGTTGCACATAGACGTCTAGCTTTCGTCAGCGCTGCTCTCAAGTATTAGGTGTAGCAAAGGCACAAGCTGTTGGGGCACTGCCAGATGTACACCCAGAGCCAAGGTGACCCTCGTCGGCAGATTGAACTTGCGCAGACGGGAGCTGAGAATGGCTGAATCGTTCTCCATTTCGCCACCCAGCAACCCGAGGGTAAGTAGGGGAACAGAGGTCTTTCTCTGAACAAGTTAGAGCATTTTCGGGATTTGTAGAATGGACTCAGGCGTCGAGCGAAACAGCGGGACCAGTCAGCCATCAGTCAGGCACGCTTCATGCGTGCAATGTAACTGAACATCATTCAACTTTTTTGCAAGGCCCAGCGTTCTGCCCAGCTCCGTTTTGAGAAAGACCTCCTGGACAGGGTCCAGGCTCAACTCTTTAGTTTGCATGGAGCCTTCAGTATCTGATGCATTCCAGGGGAAATGGATTGATGAGGAAGATCCAAGCGTAAGCTATGTCGTGGAGGCTTGTGGATCTTGCTAGCGGTACAGAGGATACTAGATATGCTTGCATGCTGGCCGTTGGGCAGCAGACTCAGGGCGGCATCTGTGCAGTATCTGGCGGAGATAACGCAAGGACGTTCCGAAATCGGCCGCTGCCTTGCTAACATTGCACATCTTCGCTCATTGCGATGTGAGAGCTATCGGGCACTACTAGTGGTAGTTGCGCCACAGATTGAGCGTCTATGGCGGCGAACTCTGCTGGGATGCCAGAAGGCTCTACGTCCACAAGTATTGAACAACTGTTTGTGTGTCAGCTTGGTTGCATGCCATGGCATCATTCTGATCCATGTCAGATTCTGGCACAACCTGAACTTCAGTGCTTTGCCTCCTCCAGAGGAGCAGGCTGAATTGCAAGTTGCCATCAGTGACGCGAGAACAAGAGAACTTGCATTGGTAATTGGTTTGAGTCCTTTCGGTCCCATTGGGAAGGTTCATAATGCTGATGCTTGAGCTAGTTGGATGCAAGCGCGTGTGAGCCGCAAGTTTTACACAGCGGCGGTCAGGTCTACAGAGTCGAATGGAACCCAGCGCAGGTTCTTCGATGCCTGACTTGATGATACGCTTGCTTTTCACAGCTTCGATGTTGACAGGGATCTCCGCCGACAAAGCAGATTATCTGGGCGGCAACCTCAGCATGACTCTGTGCCGACTGCGACATGTAGAATAAGCCCAAACTGTGATGAGGGCATTGCCGGCCTGAGACGTGTAGGAGAAGAAAGTTAATGTGCTGCAAGAGTCTGATGTTGCAGACGAGCCGATGATGGAATTGGCATTCTTAAAAGTCGCTCCCAGAAAGGCCTATACACAAGCGGGGCCACATCACCGAAGCGGATCAGAGACGTTCAGAGCCGAGGTGCGAGCACCTGAGACCGAAGGTGAGGCTGGTGACGGCGAGACTGGCTTGCTGGAGGCTTGGAAAGCTTTAGGCCCATTGCAGCGTTCAACACTGTCAAAGTGCCAGGCTGCCAATGTAGAGGAAAATGGAGGTCAAGGTGGCGATGCTGAGGCCTTGCGAAATTGGGGATCTCACAGCAAATGACCTGTCATGCAAGTTGACAGGAGCACACCGCGATCTGATACCGTGAGACTCCCTTCGCCTGAGTTGAGGATGTGTGGCAGCCGCAATTTGCAAGCCTGGGGCCTCCCAATTGAAGGAAAGGGTTATCATAGATAGCGCATGATTTCACATAAAAAGTACTTGTCTTCTCAGCGGGTATTGGCGGGTTCCCAGTCATGGCTGCCCGCTTGACTATGCTTCTGAACTTCCGCCGCGTCTCAAGCTACTTACTAAGGGACAGGCTGGCTATCACAATAGGGAATGGAACGCGCGACTGCTCGTGAGAAAACCAGCAGGCCCGTACCGCGCCTACAGTGCCATGCCAGGCAGGCGTGAACCTTGATGCTGACTTCATGTTGTTCATGGTTTCCTTCTTTATTTGGCCTCACATGGGCCAACGCAAGAACAACATGCAGCAACACTTGCGCGCACGTGCAGCTCGGAAGCAATACTTCTACTGTTCAGCGCAGTAGGCCACAAGCGGGCAATCGCGTAACAGGCAGCTGGGCAGATCCGTGTTGTAGATGCTCATTACGACATATTACGACCTGACAGCGAGTCAGTTCCAATGGCAGAAGATGGTGGCACAGGCAGGGGCATGGTCAAGAACGTAGGCCAAACCGCACATGGTTTGCACTTGGTGTGCAGGCTCGCCTGGTTGGCACCTTAGGCTCAGAAGAAGGGTAGTCACCATTCGTCGTTCTGGCTTTGAAGCTTCCACTGCTTTCCGTCAATATGCACGTTCATTCCTGTTCTTCCCTCAAAGAAAGCCATGTCGGGGGCAGGAGTGGGGGAGAAAGGGCAGTATATTGTTGGCTGGGTTCGCCCGGCAGCACTTTTTCAGGTTCACGAAGTTCACGGTTGCCCGAACACCCCGCAAGCCAGGCTTGGTTGTGTTTTCGGCAAACGCCAGAAATGTGAAGATATGCGAAGATTTTTGCTTTGTGCCCGATGTCATGTTGAAGAAGCCTCGCGCAAAATGTTCATTGGGGGTTTGGCACTCTGAAACCTCGGAAGAACTGCGTTTTTCGTGATTTGCCTGATGGTGAAGTTTTTTGGTTTCATCGGGAACGGAAAGAGGAAATAATCGCTCTTCTGACTTTGCACGTATCTCATGGATGCTCGCAGAAACCGTATGCACTGGTAACTCGAATGTTGTGATCGTAGCCAGCATGGACCTCAAGGAAACCTTATTGCGCTCCATGGCGTCGCCGGGGCACGAGCGCCCTTGGCTTTGGCATTGAGATTTGAATTCAACGACGTTACACCACGATCGAAGCAGAGCATTTACCCGATGCTCCTGCTGCTTCTGAGCAGGAGGAGTAGTAGTGGGTACGCGGCGGGGGCAAAAGCACAAGAAACAGGATGTCATACAATGGTATCATCAGGTTTTTCTCCAGTGGGCACCAATAATATGCTGATATTGACAGTGTGACCCAAATAGAAGCAATAATATCATGATGATAATGAGCTTATGACCCACCAAACAGACGCAATAGTATCATGATGATAATGATAATATAGCCCAAATAGAGCCCAAAATATCTTGATAGTAATGACAATATACTCAGTATAAAAGCGTCATGATGCTCTTCATGCCGCGAGCTGCAAGTGTTCTGGGGTGTGAGC